ACTCCTCCCTTAAAGCCTTAGTAGGAATTTGGGTTAAATCATATAACTCTTGGAGTTCCCTCCGCAATGCATTTTCCTTAGGAATTATTATTTCTTTTACCATATTTTAAAAATTTTGTATTTTATAGTTAATGTTGGGGAGCACCATGACCCACCATTACTCTTTATAATCTTTGTTTTGGAACTTAGGAAAACTACTTTTTTTCTTATTAAAACTTATTTTTTAACTTTCTTATTCAATTGCTTTTTCACTACCGCTAGACCTCCGATTAATAAAGCACTAGCCACTGAAATAATGGCCATAATACCACCTTTGCCAATACTGTTATCATTGTTTTTTTGAGTTGTGGAGACAGATGAATTTTGTAATTTTTGTTCTGATTTATATCCAATTGCTTTTTGTTCTGCTTCGGTTAAATCCTCTTGCACCCTATACAACTTTCCTGACTGAATTATAATTTCTCCCGTAGATTGATCGTATTTTATCTCCTCCGCATCCTGCCGAATAAGAACTGGTTCTGGCTTCCCTCGATACCATTTTCCAGCATTGTAAGTATGAGACACTACTTTATCTTCAATTTTCCATTTGTCTATATTTTGAAGAATATCATTAACTAACTCTTGACGAATTGATTGACTAGTTGGAGTTGAAGGAAAAATCGCATTTATTTCCGCCTGCTCCTTCTCATTAAAATAACCTACCCTATAAACTTTTCCTGGTTGACTTATTAATTCCCTCTTTGCTGAATTATAATCTCGATCACCTAATCTTAATGTTTTACGAATAAGCACATTTTCCTCTTTTTTTATCTCACCATAAAAGTCATAAACTACCGGAACTTTTTCCCTAATTTCTCAGTCGTTTTTATTCTGTCCTATATCAAGAATTAAATCTCAGCGGATTTCCTCACCTAGCGAAACACCACCGGAACTTGTTGATCGTTGAACCTCTTGCGGAAAAAAATGAAAGTCTTGATAATTATGGTCTTTTGTAATTCTTTCAAATGCCTGCTTACCTTTATCGCCACTACCCTTGCCGAACTTACTTTCAACCTCTATATCTTCATAAGTTTTACCTTTGAGAGATAATTCAATTTCTCTTTCGCTAGCTAATGTTCCTTGAATTCTAGAAAAAAAACTACCGAGTTCCTCAGCATATTCAGGAGAACCAGGAGTTAAGTCATCTTTGCTATTTATCACATCTTTGATAATCTTTTCTCCTCTCCCTTCTGTTACTTCTCTAATTCCAAATAAGCAATGCTTTAACCTTGGATGACAATTATTGGCATCAATTCCCGTAGCATCAATTCACTCGTAAAACTCTTTCTTTATTTCTTCGCGAAGAAAGTCAGGCTTATTTTTCATTGTTCCCACAAATCCAAGTAGCACAATCGAAAAACATTCCTCCGCATCTTCCGGACCACTAATCAGTCTTACAACTTTATTATCCTTAATTTGCTTTCGTTGTTCTCAATCAGGATAATACCCAGCTATTTCAATATACTTTTCCAAAAATTCTACCACATCATAAAGAAGCCTATGAGTTATCTCTTTACTATAAGCAGTTAATTGCTTTTGTGTTTGTATTTGTTGTCTTTTCATATTCTATAATATTTATTATTTTTATTTTCATTCATCTTCATGTTCCATTAAAAATGAAGTGTCAGTTTTTTTGCCACTGCCTTATTACCTTGTGATTTAAAAGCAGCATTCAAAGCAAAAGTAAAAGAGTCATAACTAACCGGTCAATATTTTTTATCCCCTTCATGTTTGGCTACATGTTTAGGACATTTAAAATATCAATCTTTCATGTGGTGAACAGTTCCGCAACTCTCACATTTCATATTAGCACAATCAGATATTTTTATATCTCCCCAATCTGTCGAATGAACCCAATTGTAAACTGGTCCTCGACCTACATCCGGACAATCAGTAGCAGGACAAGGCACTTTTAAATACATTCATTCTTGATAAGAACAATGAGGATTATTCCAACCACAATTTTTATAACAAGGCCCATATCCCTTCGCTTCACCTACACTACCACCACTTAAATCATTATAATTTAAATTAGCATCATTCTCATAAGTTTTCATAAACTCCTCATAAGAAGGGATTTCATTTTTTAATTCATATACCGTTTCGAACGGCTTTTTATTTTCTATGGGTATTAAATTTTCTTTTACCATATTTTTATTAAATTTCTTATATTTTTCTAAAAATTATTTGCTAATTTAAACAGTTTAGCCTCTGTTTTTTTAAGTTGGCAATTTAAGAAGCGGTGAACTTCTTTTATTGTCTTAATTCTTACTTATGACCTTTAAGCCTGATATCTCTCTATCCTTTTCCGCCACAATGGCGTTATGTAGTCCTCCTTTCAAATGGCAGTGATTAATCCTTGATTGTGTTGGATATGTTGATTTGTCATAACTTTTTTCTCCATAAAGTTCTTTAATTAAGTTTATACTCTTTTCTTTTTAAAAGAAACTATTTTAAAGAAACTTCCCCATCATCCAGCAATCTCCAACACTAAATTTCCTGAATATCCAAGCTTTTTATCTAATTATCTTTAAATGTTCTACATTTAACAACTTATAAAAACCCCATTGTTCAGTAAGTATTTTATTATAATACTCAACAACTAAAAATAAGCATTCTCTTTTCTTAAATCTCCAATCTTTTTTCCTTAACTTCTTTGACAATCTTTAAATGGAAATCTATCTTCAATTTCTCTAAATAACTAGCCAAATCATCTAATTTCAATAAGTTTATCCGACAATAAAGAATATCATCTAACTTCTTTAAAGAAATTCCTAACTCATAAGCCAAATCTTTTAAAGATATTTCATTTATCCTCATATATCTAGCTATATTCTGACAAATTTCATACTTGCTTTTCTCTAATTCACTAGCCTTTTCTGGTAAAGCATAATTCCCTCCCTCATAATTAGGGTCAGATAATCTTTTAACTGTTTCCTCTTGGGTTTCTTTTCTTTTTATATTTAAATTTCCCATAAACTACTTTACCGAAAACGGTAGATATAAAGCGGTAGCGGTAAATAACCATTAAGCCAACTTTCCCACATACATTCGCCCTAAAAACCAACCCCAACTTTCGCAAAATGTATTAAATACTGCTTCGCCTATTGCGTAAATATATGATATGAGAGCCAAAAAGACCTATCCTTATCCCAGTTATAAAAATCCGGTTAGACTTTCGCCACAAGCCAACCAAGCCCATCAACAGATAAAATTCCCGCCCTGCCTTTTTGAATTGAAGCATTACATAGCGTTCATTATCACGCTTGATGCTTTGAGTGCTTTGATTTCATTCGGGAAGCCTTGCGACATGGGATAATTAAAAATCGGCATGATGCTCGGTTTTGGGGATTGGGAGAAAAAAAGGCTTTGTGTGGTGATTGTTTAGAAAAAAGATTGGCGGAGATGTCCTTCCGCAAGCGTTATTTGTGAGAGGAATTAAAAAGAGGGGGTATTGGGAGTTAAATTAATTTACGCAATGGGCGTTATTTGTGCTAATTCTCCTTCAATCATTTTTCCGTTTTTACTTTTTCCTTCTCATAATCCTTTAATTGGGCTTCTAATTTAGTTAATTGCTTATGGAGAAATTTTTGTTGGCTAGTCAGTTTATAGATTTGCGTATTTAAGAAGCGAACATATTCTTTTTTGCGGATTATTTCCTCGGGGGTGGGTTTAGTTGTCATTAATGAATTTTCTCCATTCCTGATATCATTTGTTTTCGGCTTCTTTTTCTTTTTCACTTCGCGGAAATTGCCATCAAGCACAGCCACAGCAAAAATATTTTTCTTTTTCTTGGTAATTTATTAAATAAAGAGGATTGTTATAGACATTACAAAAGCCACATTTGCCACCTTTTTGCGGTGGCTGCTTTTTTAATTCTTGACAGTAAAAACAGTCATTCATCTACTTTTTGAAAGGTAATGGCTGTTCTATTTGGGTTTTTTGGTCTTTTTGCTCTTGCTCTAATTGCTGATAGTAGTTAATTTTTTGTCATTGATAAAGACTTTTAGCAATAGTTTTTAATTGGACTTGGTAATAATTAGCTTGTTGTTCGGCTCTGACTTTATCATTTAACGCTTTTTGATAAGCATTTATTAGGTTAGTGTGGTTTTGTTGGTCAGCCTGAATTTTGTGCGTTAAATTAGCGATAGTTTCCTTTAAGAATTGGTTATTTTTTCTTTCTGACTGAACCAATGCTTCTAAATTACTGTTCTCGGCTTCTAATTTCTTTATTTTGGCTAGTAGAATATTTTCTTTTTGGTTTTTAATAATGCTTGGTGTTTGGGGCGGAAGATTACTGATTGATGGTTGAGATTGATAATTAGTGATTGCGGGTTTTGGTTTTATTTCAGTAATCAATAGCGGATTATCTTGCTGAACGAGTTTCTTGGCAGGAATTACTGGCTTATCTTTAATAATAGTTCTAAATTAACGGATGGTTGTTCTGGAAAATTTTTGCTTGGTGATTTTGGTGGTTCTTTTTCTAATCACTTTTTACCAGTTAAAATACCGCCAATATCGCTATCGGGTTCTTGATAAATATTGCGTCAGTAAAGAGCAGTCGTGCGAATACTGGAATGTCCCAATAACTTCTGCAATAGTGGTAGCGGTAAACCATTCTCGGCATGATAAGTGGTAAAAGCACGGCGTAAAGTGTGTGGTGATAACTCCACTTTTTCACTAATTCCTAACTCCCACTTAATTTTCCGTAAAAAGTGGTAAAAATTTCAGCGGTTAGTCTGATTAGGCTTCCAATTATGCTTCTTTAATTCTCTGATAACCTTTTTAGGAATATAAACTAATCTCTCATCTTTCCCTTTCGGCTTGTTTAGGCGGTATAAACCTTGCTTATTTTTACTACCTAAATCAAACTTTACCGCCTCATTCACTCTTAATCCCGCCTTACTTCCTAGCAAGAATAAGCCATAATGAAATCCCCTTTTACTTTCTTTTTGTCGGTTAGGAACTGACATAATCCTCTCACCAACTCTCTCTAAAACTGCTAAACTAGGAAGCATATAACTATTATTTTAAACTAAAATAAGGGAATATTCCTTTAAAAACCTTAACGAACAATATTCAGCCAACAATATTTTCTAGCGAAAAAACCAACTCCAATACCAAACCTCAACTCCCAATAAATTCTAACTAACTTTTAGCCAGATTTATTTATCTTTTACAAACTTTATTCATTGCTTATTTACCTTAATTCACGAGTTAACACTATGGTTTTTTGGTTAAAAATATTTGTGACCTCCTTTCCAACACCCTCCGTCGGAGCAAGCCCCTCCTTTCTCTCTCTCTCTCTCTCTCCTTCTTTTTTTCATCTTGGTCATCCCAAAACTTTTATTAAGAACCCAAGAAAAGAGACAAACTAGAGAATAGCTTAGGAGATAACTTTTGAATAGAACCTAAGCATCCGTAAAACCTTACTAAAAAGAAAATTAAAAATAAAAGAAAAGGAGGGAAAAGGGCGAAAACGGGACTTAATGGTTATTTTTTACTTATTATATAAGTAAGAGGAAAAATTTAGAGCAAAAAAATGCCATACTTCACCCCTCGCCTCCGTTCGAAACTAAAATAAATATATAGGTTTATATGGTTCCTATATTTAGTTCTCATTTTGAGAGGTCAGCAGGCTAGGGTTTAGTCGTATCACTATGGATTATCAGACCTACCAGGGAATTTACTGGTAGGGTCGATTACAGATAATTTGAGTGTGGTATGAGCCATCCGGCTTTGCTTATAAAACCCTGGCTTATTGCCTCTAACAGAAATTCCTGTTAAATTGTGCCGTTAGTGTTTAACCTTACTTGGTGGGGTCGAACCTTAACGGGGCAACCTAGCCTCTGTATTTGCTCGCAACCAGTTTAGTTTTTTGTTCCAAGCTGGTTGTGGGAACAATGAGTTAATTTCCCAAAAAAAGAGTTAAGAATTATTTCTCAATTCCTTTGTTCGAAAATTAGCCCCCCACTGACTTAAAAAAAATACTCACCTTTCTAAAATATAGAAGCTATATCATATAGAGGCTATAAAGTAATAAGAGAGTAAAAAAGCGAAAAAATTCCCTTTCCTCTGAAAATTTCCTTGTAAAAGTTTATCAGGTTTGACCTGTTTTGAGTTGTTTATTCACACCATTTCAATTATTCACTCAAAACAGCCTGATAGGCTACTAGGTAGGTGTGAAATTGTGAATAACCCCTCACCTACCAAACTGTTTTCAGTAGATAATATATTATAATTTTAACTTTTTTGTTCTTGTTCCTTTCTTTTTTTACCTCATAAATAACCAATTGCTAAGGTCGCAATTCCAAAAATAACTAATCCACCAACTAAAAGCGGAGTATTATTACTTGGTTGCTTATCATCCTTAACGGGTGAACTTCCCTGTTGAATAAGAGTTTGCAGATATTGAACGTTCTGTTGTTGCTGATTATTCCCATTGGTAACTAATTGTTGAGCGTATTCCAATAAATCTATCAAAATTGTGCCTTTAAAGGAATTAATTCTAATTTTTTTATCCTTAATTCCCTGAACTAATTTCCCAAACTGTTCGCTGGTTAAATTATCCAAGTTTTTCGCACTTAACGGATTTTTTTCGCAATTCAGAAAAGTGCTTAATAAATGGGCTAAATCTATCTCTTTAATTTGATTGCCAAAGAAGTTGATTTTTTGTAATTTATCTTTATTGGGTAAAGAGTTTAAGAAGTCCAAGTTTTCAAACTTGTTGTTGTAAGAATTTAGACTGGTTAAAGTAGTAAATTTTTTTAAATCAGCATTGCCTGCTAAATCTCTATTGCTGGTATCCAAGTATCTAATTCTTTTTTGATTAGTGAGTTGGTTAATATGCTCTTGGCGTTATTAGTCATATACTACTATTTTAATAATTAATTTCCGCTTTTTAACAATTTTTGATATAATTTTCTAAAACTTTCCTTTTACCAAATTTTTTTACCCTTTTTCATTCATTCTTGGTAAACCTCATCTAACCCCCTCTAAATCTTTTTCCAATTCTTTCGCTTCTTCCACATCTCCGAAAGGTAGTGTATTTCTTTTTCACCTCTCAAACTCTGAACTTTCTGTAATAGTTCAACGAGGTTTTTCTGTGCCAGTAGGGATTTTATTACAACAACCATCACATTTATAAATAGAAGTTCCTAGGGTTTGATTATTTATGTTCATAACTATAATTTAGTTTTAGCCTAAAATAGGGGGATATGGCAGAAAATATTTTATCATTCGCAGAATGTTTAAAAAAGTTAGACAAGTTAAAAAGCAAAAGTATGAGTCAGCAAAAGAAAACTAAATATAAAGCTGATGATTATCAATCTTACTTAGACAGTTTCTTGGAATTACAGGTGAAGGTCACTCGTTCAGAAAATAGTAATCAAGGGGTTCGTGAATTTGTTAAAAAACAAGAAGAAGCAAAAAAAAGTCTCAGAAAAAAACTAAGTATCGGAGAGATAGAATCCCTCCGCCAGGCCGTAGAAAAGTTAACTAAGTTAGAAATGCAGGAGGAAATGCAAAAAAAACAATTCCAAAACAAAATTGAAATTCCTTCCAAAAATAATTAACTCTTCCCCATAAACTCCCCCATCTCCCGCCAAGTCAAGTCACACCCTAAATAATCTCTTTTAACTTTTGACAAACTTCTAACACAACAAAACTCAGCATTACTTCGCAACCAAGATCCTAAGCCCAGGGTATTTTTCTTATACCAAACTAAGTAATCCACTATTTTCAAACCAGGTGCTTTAATATTCATGTTTGGTTAAATATTTGGTTCTTAATCTTTTTCTCTGAAAAATTAAGACAAGAAATTATTTCTGATCTTTTAGATATAACTCTCTTCAATAATTTCTTTCTTCCGCAAAATCAATCTCCCCCAAATCATCCCCTAACTGAAAAGTGCCATATTTTAACTTATCCTGTCAACTCTGGTTAATTGTTGAGTCAATAATTCTTTTAATTATCGCAATCACGGCAATACCACAATCAGAGCCATTATTTTGTCTCAGCTCATGTCTGGTGATTAAACACTGTTCCAATTCAATCTCATTTGACTGGTGAATTTGCTGGCACAACTCGCTAACCAACGGTTGCACATATTCATAATTAACCCCATTTAGAGTATCATAATGGTAAAAACATTTAGTTTTGGTTTCATAAACTAAAATAAGGATCAATGGAAGTTCGGATTATTGACCGGGATAAAGATTAACTCTTTGCTGTTATCACTAATATTCGCAAGCAATTGGGGGGAAAATTAACGGATCATCCTTTCTCTTTGATTTTTTAGTTAAGTGGAATTGGTGAGCGGGTAAAATTTTAAACTGCTCATTCTTTTCTATTCGGCCAGTCGCTCAATCTATTTCTTTATCAGTTAATCATCTCTTTTCTGAAAATCATTCTTGCTTCTTCTGATCTTGTCAGATAAAATATCCATGTTTATTTTTCAGCTCACTTTCTCTTTTCGACTGCTCTTGCTGGTATTCTCAGTTAGTAGTGTTTCCAAAGTTTCTTCTTTATCCTTATTTTGCTGCGGAGTAAAAGCCAAGATTACTCCAAAAATAAGGAGGATAACAATTAAAAATAAAATTCCCAGCATATTAATTTTCTTGCACTTTGCTGTAAATCCAGCCCAAAGCAATTATTACTATTAATGCTCCTACCCAATAAAAAAGAGGAGTTTTAATAGTTTGTCAAAAAGAAGGAGACTGAGTTATTTCTTGAATCGGGACTGGTTTTTTACTGAGGGATTGAATTTTTTGAGATAATTGTTCTTCTCTTATTTTGGCTTGGACTAATTCTCCTTTTAGTTTGTTTATTTCGGACTGAGATGCGGTTTTTTGTTGGTGGTTCTTTTGCTTTTCAGTAGTTAGTTCTTTTTTTAATCTTTCTAATTCAGAGGAATTTTCCTGATTGCCTTCTAGTTCCTTTTTCTTGTGCCAACTGCTTGATTTGTTTGCTTTTTTGAGGATAATTTCTTGACACTTAGTTCATCTTCTTTTTCACAATTAGTCAACTGATGAGAAGATGAACTATTTTTTTAATTTCCTTCTCTCCCCCCACTCCCTTTGCCTACTAGCCCCATTCCTATACTTCCTCACCCTACCCGTCTCCAAATTCAAAACTCCAGTAACTAACCCTGCCTCTATCTTGGCCTGAGCCTTCCTTCTCCGATAAGACCGCTGTCTTTCCGCATTAGAAGCATACTTAAAAACTAACCCTCCTTTCCTCCCTCAATTTTGAAAATCTTTTCTAGTATACCCTCACTTACTAAAATAAAACTCTTTTTTACTTTTTACCATATAATCTATTTTCGTTATTCTATCCGTTATGTAAGGCTTAATAATTATCCTAAAAAACAGCTATAAATCATAATAGTTTATAAAATAAACTATACTATATTTTTAATCCCGACCTAATTGGCCATTAGGTGGGGATTATTAGTATCCCTCCTTTACAGTAAAATTGCTAAAATCTAATTCCAACAATTTTTCTAATATACGAGAGATGTCCTTTCTGTCTTGTGAAATATCAAAAAATAAAGTTATACAACAATGATTATCACTTTTGCGGACAAAGAAACCGAAAAACTGTGACACTGAAAGAAAAACCCTAAATTTGGAGAGATTGCCTCACGAGCACTGCGTAAATTAGAGTTATTAGATGCGGTTCCTAACCTAAAGGAATTAAAAAAAATTCCTGGTTTAGATTTGCATCCTCTTAAAGGCGATCGGAAAGGACAACATGCTATAAAAATTAATGATCAATTTCGCATTTGTTTTATTTGAGGTCAAGATAATAATGCTTATCAAGTAGAAATCACTGATTATCATTAAAATTAATATTATTAATGTATTATGACTAATTACCAAAAAATCAAGCCTATTCATCCTGGTGAAATTATTCGGGAAGAATTTATGTTGCCTTTGCACTTAACTAGCGAAAAATTGGCTCAGGATATAAAACTAACTCCTCAGGAAATAGAAGTAGTTATCCAAGAAAAAAAAGACCTTAATATGGATTTAATTTGCCGTCTAAGCGCTTATTTTGACCTCCCTGTAGAATTCTGATGAAATCTGCAAAAGCGCTACGAACTAGGAACTAGCATCTGAAATGGGGAGTTAAGTCACAAGCAAAAAGAAATCAAGCCTTATAAGCAACTTTACCAAATTTAAACCTTTCTTTTTTTAGGCAAAGGTAAATGTCACTCAAACAAACTATTCCCATAAAAATAACAAAAAATCAAAATAAGAAATCAGGGGAGTTTTATAACTTTTGTTTTTACTAACGCCGAAAAAGACCTTTTTTTCGATAGCGGTTAAACTCGGCTCGTCTTAATGGCGTCATTTGCTCTTTTTTGCTTTCTAGACATTTTCCGCATAAAACTTTTTCTTTTACTTCCAACCCTCAAAATCTCGGGTCATTTCTATTTTTAATAACTCCATGATGCCCCGCACTCGTTATCCTTTGCTCACAAATTTGACAGTAAATCCAGCCTTCACCCCCACTATCAATATAAGGAGTTCGCACCTTGGGACTCTTTTTCTAATCTTTCTTTATCCCCTTTTAAACAATTAGTAAAAAACAAATAATTTTCTTGGGCTTTTTTGACTAAACAATCACAATTTTCCGATAAATGCTCTTTATTCTCTCGCCATTGTTTAGCACAATGAATATCTATTGGTAAAACTCTCTTTTCTCTTAATCACTCCTCTAAATCTAAGCCTCAACTCTTTTGCCGATAAAACTTTTTTCAATCAGCAAAATCTATTTTTTGTTCGGGAGTTTCGCCCTTTTGTAATAGGCGTAAATTTCTCTCATGGTCTTTTTGCTGTTGTCTTTCATAGAATAAAGTTTTTTCGTAGGTTAGATAATTGGCTCACCTCTCCTGTTGATTTTTATAACAGCATTGGCAACAATATTCGGGACTGAGTTTGCCGCAGGTTTTTACTTGTTTACAATCCTGACAATGGGTAGTTCTAAAAAGGTGTTTTTGTTGGCTAAATTCTTTTCAATTTCGGTTCATGATATTTAGATTACAGTAATCATGATATATAAAACTAATTTATGGTAAATAATAGTTCTCAAATTCCCAAACAAGTAGTAAGTATTAGAATAAATCCTCATCTTTATCAACAACTAAAAAGTGAAGTGGGACGAGGAAGAATTAGTGCTTTTATTGAAAAGTTGATTAGCAAAGAATTACAAGACCAAGACCAAAAACTCGCCCAAGAATACCAAGCAGCCGCCCAAGATAAAAAACGCTGAAAAGAAGCAAAAGAATGAGAACAAGCCCAAATGGCGGACTGAAATAACCAAGATGACGGAGAAAATAATTAAACGCGGTGATATTTATAAGGTAGTTCTTGACCCAACTGTTGGCAGAGAAATCAAAAAAACTCGTCGCTGTGTCATTATTTCTAATAACCAACAAAACCTATATAGTCCGCTAATAATCGTTATCCCCATCACTTCGGACATGGATAAACTTTACTCTTGGGAAGTAGTTATCCATTCCGAGGGTAAAGAAAGGAAAATAGTAACCGACCAAATTAGAAGTGTCGATAAAGAAAGAATAAGGGAATACAAGGGTAAAGTTGGTTATGAAACTTTAATTAAACTGGAAAATGCATTGCGGAGGGAACTCCAAGAGTTATATGATTTAACCCAAATTCCTACTAAGGCTTTAAGGGAGGAGT